CACACACACACAGTGATACACGATTCCAGCAAGCACACCAACATATTATAGTATATAAAATTAGCAGCATACAGTATGTGAACTGACAGTACTGTTCAGTGGACCCTAGGAGCTGTGTATGCTTGGGTTATGAGGAGGCCTTATTTTTAGACCAAGCAGCTGAATGCAGTTTTTTCATCTCAGCTGATGAACCACCAGAAGAGCATTCAGCCCAGCAAAGCCCAGACTTCGTGGATAGAGCAGCATCTCATTTACTTTAACAGTCAGAGAAGAGAAAGCCCTGGAAGAGTCCTTGAACACAAACACTCAGTTTTCTGTCTTGCATTGTTCATTCACTTGACATGGACAGGTGCACTAAGACTGCCCCTATGTTAGGCAACTGTAAATATCTGTTAGGTGTACAATTATATATTATTATTATTATCATTATTATCATTATCATTATTATTATTATTATTATTATTATTATTATTAGTATTATTATTATTAACTTATATGAATGGGCTTTCTATCATTTACTCAAGACAGCTTAAAACTCTTGATTCATATAATTTTATTTATACAAAAGAGCCAAGACAAGAGAGAGAAAGCTGCCAAAGGAAGGTGACTGTCATTGTCTCTCGAGTATCTAACACGTTCTCATCCCAACAGGTAAAATACAGAGGACTTGCCACAGTCGTCTGTATTTTACCTGTTGGGAATGAGAGCGAGTTGGAATGAATCTATAAATGTGTTTTACTTGTGAAATAGAAAATAATAAACCTAACAAAGCATTATGTACGTTTAATCTGTTCACTTTCAGATCCTGAATCCGTTTGGAAAACACTACGTGATGGCCCCAACACGAAGCTATTTTATTGTTGAATTATCAGAAATACTTTGATGCGTTTGTGTTGGAATGGACAGCTGGATCCTGTGCTCTAAGCATCTCTTACCGCCGCGAGCGGGTTTATATTGGAGTCAATTGAGAACCCAGAATGTTTCAAACAGACGAGGAAGGGTACCTTTTGCATCACTATGAGATGCCTAGAGGTGTGACAATGATACGCGTTGGGAATGATAATGGGCTGTTTAGTTCTCATTTGGGTCCAAGTCTAATTTCTTCTCTTTGTCTTCTGGGTTTTTTCTGCTTTTTTCCTTGTCTCTCTTTTTGAGTACCCACTGTCTTACTTTGTAGAGTTACTTGCCGTGCTTACCCTATGTGCCTCCGGGAACAATGATACAATTTTAATATCTTCCCCTTAGTTTCCCTTTCTCATGGAAAGAAAGATACAACCCTGCCAGAAAAAGCAGCACCAAAAAGTGGTGTGGTTTATCCGGCTGCTTTGTCATCAACTTTTTCTCTGACAAGCTCTCTAAGCCCGGCTGACTAACTCACAAAAGTTCAGAAACACTTTGAAATGTGACTGGGATTGTGCAGAGTTTATGTAGAGCATCAGATCAACATGTTTTTAAGCTGTGAAGAGCTGTCCTCTGCTCTCTCTCACAGAAGATCCTCAGCACCGAGATTAACTCAATTCTTTTCACAGGAGGAAATTGCCACGGCTCGACTCCTAATCGAAAGCTTCTCTCTGCAGCACTGTAACAAATGCGGCTTCACCCCGGATAAATGGTCATGCTCACAGTGGAGCAGTATACCATATTTTGCATGTGTACTAGACTACTGGATTTGACATTAAAGCCACTGGAGACATATTTACAATGGGCTCACTGTTCTTACAGGATTTTTTCCTGTGTTTTTACAGATCACAAAAACTGAAAACTACTGAGTATCCCTCTGATACTGACCCATATTTTAAGTGCAACTGCAAGTCTGACAAGACACTTGCAAAGGGAAAACATCGAAGCAATGTGCTATGAGGGAATGCCTCACTGCTTCTTCAGTCCTAAAGAAGCAACTGACTCGTTGACAGTCAAGATTTAAACTAACATAAAATGTGTGATTTATGTAGCATTACCATTCCTATAGCTGGGATTTATTTATCCCAAAGACTGCAGTATTTTATTTAATGTTCAAAGCAGTCAGGCAAGAGACGCAGCTTCTGAACCTTGCAGAAAGAAGTTAAAAAGTAAAGTATAAAACTATAGCCAGTAGCTGTGTTACTTAGCTTATAATGGAGACTGAAGGAAGCTAAAAACTGTGTGATGTTTGTAGTGTGTAAGTATCACAAACATGTAATTTCTATTCAAAAATCGAATACAGAAAACAATCCAACTATTATAACATCCTTTGAAGTTTTTAAAGTCACCCTCATGTCCATACCGTACATCAAGTGAAAGGACAGGTGAGACTGAATATGTGCATATGTAAAGACGTCCTTGAATTGAATTTAAAACAAAGTTGTAGTTTTCTTCAGTTTAGCATTCAGAAAGCCTTTAGATTAAATTGCACAGCCTCGGTCTCCTTGTCTCACTTGTGTCCGTCAACAGCAGCTTAAGTGTTTTGGCAACAGGTCAGCATAGTCAGCAGAGCCCTTT